ATATAATTCGAAATGATTGCATCGTGCATAAATAACATTATTAGCAATAAATATACTGTAAACACAATAAAAAAAAAAAGAAAATAAGAGCAGACCAAATATAGATCTTGAAATACTATTTGCACTGCACTAGCAATAAAATAATAGTTTAAAAGATAAAACTCAATACTTCATCTTGGATGACAAGGTCCGTGATCACACGAACATGACTACCATGATGGATTCCAATCAATACCTTCTATCTAAAGATCAACATCATGTTTTAACATTCGAGGTATTGTGACATATTTGAGAACAAGATACGAGCTAATGAAATAATTGTTAAATATTTAATAATTGATTAAATAGGCGTCCACAACACCGTGAGGTGGTATATGAGACAAAAATTAAAATATAGAAAAATTCGGACTAACACAGTATTTATAAGGATTTGACTGATTAGTTTTTAAGAATATTTTATTCAAAATTGATGAGAAATCGCACAATTTATATTTTATGGATTATTAAAATATAAATATAACTGCGTACATTAGAAATACGAAGTTGACTATAATTATACAACTAACATTTTGACAAGCAATTTTTTTAAATTTCAAAATCTTTCAATAACAGAGGAAATTTTTTTTTCTTTCGAAAAACCTTATTTAGACACTTTGTCAATCCAAAATACTTTAAATGTGTACTGTTTTTATCTTACGAACAACCATCCGAATCCTCTTGTTTCTAACCTGCCTTCCTCTTCGATTCCTGATAATCCTCCGAGGCATCTGAAAAGGTGATCTCCTTTTGTAGACATATTATTAGAGAGCTACCAGTGGGTAGTTTCTCAACAAGCGTTTTCATGTGATTATATTAATACAGTTGTAAATATCATAAATAAAATAAAAAATAAAAAATCTTAAGAACAAATTTTAAACAAATCAAGTTAATAAAAATAGGTGGAGCAAGAGAAATACTTCATTGATAAGCAATGCTGCTACAATAATTTCTAAAAACACACCATACTCATAAATATAAAATTGTTGCATATTAATTGCAGTACAGATATGTTCATAGTCTGTTATACGTTTCTTTACCTTCATATTGTATTTTTTATTATCAAGTCAATAATTTTTTTTCCGTTGTCATTGCTCTCGAAATGAAATCATTATAATTTATTCTTTTTAAATAAATGAAGGGTCTTATTAAGGATTATTCTTTTATCCGTTAGAAGGTTTTGTGTTTTGAAATTGGGATTTTCGACCCCAAAAATATGAAGAGAAACATCTAGTGAAACAATAATACAAGAAGATAATCTTTGAAAAACAACAATATTCATCTGAGGCCATTAGCGTAAATCATTTAAATTAATTGGAAATGGCGTGAAAATAATAAAAAGCTGAGACGTAATCATGATAAACGACTGTGGTGCACTGCGCCACTAAGAATTACACAACCGGTCGCCTTTAAATTCGTAATATTACAAATGTTCTTAAAGAATTAAACATGGTTAAAATTTAAGAAAATATATAATATATATAAAGCTTTCGAGATTGTATTAAAATAAGACCTAATGAGAAGTGGATAGGATTTCTAACTAAGCCACTGTTGTGTCACTTTATCTCAAAGATTATTTTCGTACACAAAGCATTACGAAGATTTTTATCGAAATTATTTAGGAATTAGTTAGTACATTTTGAGGCTTTAAAACGCAGGGTCCAGTAAAATTTTCAAGAACCATATTGGATCATCATGTCCACGTTTAAATATTTAAGACAATTTATTTCAACTCAACAATTTACAATTTACTTCAACCTCCTATATCCGTTTACTTTTGAAACCATCTATTTAGAAATCTCCTAATACATTCAATGAGTGTTATTGTAATTGCAGGAAGGTTTTAATTTTTAAAATTCGTTACTTTTTTCTTTAAACTTTCTTTAGTTTGATAACTCATTCATTAAAATCAGGGGTTGAAACTTTTTAGAAAACAAGTCCCATTTCAACAGTTACTGTGAGGCCTTTTTAGGAAAAAAGTTCTAAAAAATAAAAGTCCTAAGGTATTTTTTGTAATAAATTTCCAAATTTACGGTAGGACTGTATATATAATATATATATATATATATATATATATATATATATATATATATATATATATATATATTTCCTGTTGACTTTACAGAACTTGCAGATCTTTTGCACCCTGAAATAATCTTCACGACATCAGACTGTTATGCGCTATTGCTTTACGGTTTTCTGTACACAACTCTGCAGCAACATTATTGATTACCCACCCATCTAAGGTCTACTGGCCATTGACGTTGGTTCTCACCGACTATTAAGTTATCCATTGATGTGTAGAGGTTTCCGGCTTCTCCAAGCAAATTTCTTGTAATATATATAGGCCAACATTTAAAAATAAAAATAAAACGAGTATGCGTCCATAACTAACTACGCCTTTCCAAAGAAATTAGCTTAAAATAAGACTTCGGCTTCGAACATTACGAAGACATTATCAAAGTAATAAATTCAGGGGTAATTTTCGAGGGAGGGGGAGAGAGAGCAGACGTTAATTTATCAAAGTTATCTCAAATCAAATTAATGTTTCAATAATTTAACTTTGTCCGGAGTTAGGCCAAACTATTTATCTAGAGGCAACTTTAGCGAATTCATTAACGAAGATTACGTGGAACCGAAGACTTGAGATTGTATCCGAAATTAATTAACAGCGGGGAACCAATTGGTCAAAGGAATAAATTTATTACCTTAAATTTTCAACGCACCAACCATATGAATATACTACATCTTGATACTTCAATATTTAAACGGTGACTGAATTCGGCGATTAATGATTACATTGATGCATGACAGAGTAATTCTAAAATTTATTTTTAACAAATCACATAATTAATATTTTTTGAGTAATTAAATTTATAAATATAACTGCGTTAACAGGAATACGTAGTTGACAGTAATTACACAATTGGCATTGATTATCTTAAGTTAATTTCAACTTTTCAATATTCTTTACTTTGGACACTTTGTCAATCCAAAATTGTATGAATACATATTTCTTAGATATGGTTATTTTAATTGTTAATAAAATTACTAATTGTAAACTGTAAAAATGTTTATGAAAATAGCTACACAAATACGAGGTGTGGATCCATACCTCACCAGATATAGAGAACTCGATGGCTGGCTCTCAAAAAGATACGCTACTTCCTATCGAAGAACAAAACCTATTTCTGGAAATAATGGAAAAGCATAAAAAATGTAATATCATTTATACTGATGCTTCAAAAGTAAACGACGAAATAGGGTGTGCTATTGTCAACTCTCAAATAGAAAAGTACTTCAAACTTCCGGAGATCTGCTCTGTATTTAGTGGAGAGATGATCGCTATTAGAGAAGCTTTGACTTACATTGATTCAACGGAGAGTAACAAATGGGTCGTGGTAACGGATTCAAAGAGCGCAATCCTGGCCATTGAAAAGAGAACACCGACAACTACACTGGCAAGATTTATTAAAAATATCTGGTGGAAACTGACAGAAAAGGGAAAGGAAATAGTATTCATGTGGGTTCCTTCACACTGCGGAATTGTCGGAAATGAACAGGCAGACAAAGCAGCAAATATGGCGAGAAGGCTAGATAGAAATCCAACAGCTATAATCAATAGAAATCCCGATAGAAGATTTCATACATCATATAAAAAAAAAATTGCGGGTAATGTGGCAGAACGTATGGCAACAAAAAGAAACCAAATTAAAAGGAATAAAAAGCCACTGTTCCAAATGGAAAACTAGCAACCGACTCTCTAGAAAAGAAGAGACAGTCCTCTGCCGCTTAAGAATTGGGCATTGCGAATTTTCACATGCCTACTTACTAAGAGAACTAGACCCACCGACCTGCGAGAGCTGTAAGGTGCAAAGAACTGTCCAACACATCATCCAAGACTGCCCAGTATTTGAGAATGTAAGGAAAAATCTCGATATGGCTCAGAGCCTAAATGAAAACCTCAGCGACAACGAAAACGCCGTGGAAAAAACCTTACAGTTTTTAAAAATAATAAAGTTCTACAATAGAATATAAATAAGAAAGTGTTACCAATGACCCTGCAGGGTCGAGGCAACAATAAAAAACAAATAAATAATATAAATGTTATTATGAGCAATACTGTTACAATACATTGGATTGCTAAAAACGAACACTAAACTAAACAATTTGTAATAGCAATAAATTTATTGCATATTAATTACAACAAAGAGATATCTATAATGTTTTTATGACCCGTTTTGTGTTTTTGTTACCTTCATATAGCATTCTCTCTCTTTTATTTTATTATTTTTATCAATTTTTTTTATTGTTCATTGTTATTAAACCAATTAAATATTACTATAAATTAATTACTATATGAGCTGGAATCAAGACCATCAGTTGAGATTTATTTATTTTAAAAAAAACAAAATAACAATAAAAGGATTATCTAGTAAATAAATAAAAGTGAAATTTACTAACCATTACTTCATTCAATGTTTATATATTTTTAAAAAAAATAATAAAATGGTTACAATCGAGTTATCATTATATGAGCCTCTCTGTTGACAGAATGGCGAATTCCAATTTCAAAATGTTTGAGTTAAATCATTTACTGACAGTGAGAAAGTTGCTCTGTAATCAACTTAGGTATTTCAGTGTTGAAATATATAACTGTGAATAAAGATATAAATTTTCCTACTAGAAATATCACTAATATAAATAATCAAACATGTTCAAATTGGAGTTAGTCATTCTGTCAAATGAAATAGAAAAATAACTTTATTCTGGGCGAAATCCCTTAAGAATACACATAAATCAATATTATTTATTGTTATGTACATACTTATATACGTGAATTAATATACTTCTATATAATATATATGTATATATACTATATACTATATTATATATTATTATACTGTATTAAGTATAATATAGTAAATATAATATAAAAGTAACAGTCTGATAATGAAGGGATAAAATATTATAAGTAGAAATTAAAAATTACACACATGATGTCATTTAATATTCGCAGTCATATGTGGTTAAAATTTTTTAAACCTAAAGTGAATTAGACGATTTTTTTTTTTCGAAATTCATCAAATTCTTTTTTCTTTCTTGATCATTTCCGGGGAGGAGAAATGGCACGAATCAAAAGGGAGGATGCCATGAGATTCAAGAAGTATGTTTGGGCCCTGTTCGAAGAAGTGGTGAGGACGCAACGCAAAGGCATAACCTCGGGGGAGATATCTTCCTACATCCAAAGCAGGCTGAAGGTAGACGTGAGGAACAGAGTCAACGCCATCCTAGCGCTGGGAGCAGAAGTCGGGCTGGTCAACATGAAGCAAGAGGGGCGATTTCTCATGAAGAGGGGAGTATCCGAGCTGGACAAACTTCTCGATACGATAGCCTGAATGGTGAATCATTTATTCAAATAAATGTTATTTATTTTAATTCATTATATTTTTTTTTCTGATAGCAGTGTTAACATAAAAAAAAATCATATTCAGAACGCATTCATAATTTTTTTTTATTTGTGCCGACGTTTCAACCCAAACAATGTGGGTCATCTTCAGGGCATGAAGGTTCGAGGCACTGCAGGTTTTCAAGTACTCAAGTACTTCAGTCTTCGAACCACCCCCTGATGATGACCCACATGTTTGGGTTTAACGTCGGCACAAATAAAAAAAATTTATGACATAGTCCTGAATATTTATCACCCATGATATTGTAGACTAGCTTCCTTTAATAACAAAAAAATCAATATTCTACAAAACGAAAAATAATAAAAGACAAAGAATTGTTGAAAGATTTAAGAAACTTGTACAATATTATACATCTGGTACGAACAGGTGAGAAGTTTTTTTTTTAATATTACAAAAACGGTTTTGTAAAAATAAATTTAAATGCACTATGTACGGTACCTTGGACTCTACTTTGACAAAAGACTTACTTGGAACATAGATACGAAATTAAAAAGAAAAGAACTTACTAGATGATATAGCCAACTTTCACATCTGGACTACAGATCTTCACTTAACTTACGAAACAAGCAACTGATTTACAACACCTTACTGAGACCAATATGGACATATGGAGCAAAACAACTTTGGGGTTCAGCAAAACAAAATGCAAACAGCACAATAAAAAATTTTACGAAAAATTGTTAACGCACCTTGGTACATTACATATACTACTATAACAGTAAAAATCCTACATCCACGAAAAATACATTACATTTCATTCTTCAACCCAAAATCACTTCAATCCTCTGGTTCTTTCTATCTCCTGCTCCCTGTTACCGGAGCAACGCAGATTAAGAAGAAAATGTCCAAGAGACCTACTGTATCAATAAAAACCATATCAAGCAAATACACCAAGACAGTACAAACACAACAAATTTGCTAGATGCGCAGCCGCGCAAGTGCAAATTGTATAAAATATAAATGCACCTAGACAGAAATTTAGAACTTTTCACCATTTCATCTTTCTTGTAATGAACTATACGATACAAATTGCATTTTGACGTGAATTTAAGTTAGAAGGAAGAGAAAATTATAGCTCCAAAAAAACAACAAATAATAATAACTGTTTTAAAGATTTGGATTAAAATATCTCAAAGTTTAAATATCACGGAAAAATCATAAAACCAATTAGCAGATGTCAATATAGATATTTTTTTTTAATTATCCGTAAAAATAAAGAAATTAAGTGCTTCTATTAAATTGGTCCACACGATAGTGTTTCGACAAATTATTCACACCGTTACAGAAGTTTTTTTTTTTAAAGTAACAATACTACATAATTGTCTTATATTAATTGAAATCTCCTAGTATACGAATGTATATATATATATTCAAATATTTTCTGTAAGTAAAAATTTAAATACTGTCAGATATTTTGAAAATAGATTTTAACCAAAAGCATTCATCGCATATTTTAACTATCACAAAAATATTGTTTAATTTTTAGATTATAATACAATGATCTTCATCAGCCAGAGCAAAGATTACTGGAGTAATTTATGTACAATTATAATTGTAAATATTATGGGTGTAATAACTTTGTGAATATATACATAAAAAATCATATTATTAATTCCGCTATGTTAAAGTTTTCACTTCTTTTGTGTGGTCATAAGCACACACTGTAGTTTTTTAAAATTACATTTCTCAAAATACATAGATGATATATGTACTCTAAAGTACATAGATCATACATATTTCCTATAATATAGCAATCACAACACTGTCAAACCATGTGTAAGTTAATAACATCATGTGAACAAATGATTTATTTACGTTACGATATGAGCATTTCAGTTGACAAATTGACTAACTCCAATTTCAATATTTTTTATTATTATTTTTAGTGATATTTCTTGAGGGAAAATTTATAATTTTATTCACAGTTCTATATTTTAATAATCACCTATTCTGGAATCAAGTTGCTCACTGTCTGTATAGATATTACAAATTTAACAAATAGAAATACCACTAAAACGAATTAATTAAAAAATTTTGAAATTGGAGTTAATCAACTGAAAGCCTTATATTACAAAAGATCAGAATAATCAAATAAAATATTTTAAAACTATTAAAAAAAGTTTCAATAAATTAATAAAAAATTCTCCAACAAAAGTGGAATAAAAAGATTGCAGGCGTTCCGAGCCTTGCAGAGCCGCTAAGAGTTGTGGGTTAGGCCTATCAGCCACATGGAAGGGGCTGATATCAGAAGATGGGGCAAGAGAAAATTAATATAAATATATTTTTTTTTATAATGCGCAATTGAACAAAATGTTCTGAAAATGTTATATAGCAACCGGAACTAAAATATATTAAAAAGATAATACGTACTTTCCGACATTAGTTGTCTTCACGAACAATTCTATGAATGAATATTCAATTCCAATGTTTTTGAAGGAATTTCACAATTTCGACTAATTTTTTAAAAGATTTTATTTATTATTTCTTATCAAGTTATTAATAATTCTTTATTAGAATTAGAACCTGAAATCAATATACTATATAATAATATACTATAGACAAATATTAATACCAGTAATAACCAACAACTTATTAATAAAGCTACGAACTATGTACTCTAAAACAAACAAACTATATTACATTAATTTTACCATCTCTCTTTAACCATGGTTTTTGGTATAGGTATAATCTTCTACATAATGTCATTGTTAATAATATATATATTTCATATGTGCATATATATATATATATATATATATATATATATATATATATATATATATTCTCAATTCTTAATGGCCACACTGGGGAGGAGAGGGAGGGAGGAGTGATACTAGACAAAATTTCCAACAAAAAAATTCATTTGATGTATGAGCCGATTGTGAATGGAAAAGGAATTTAGACCAATTTTCTGTCCTACTTAAGATGGTTACGTTTCTTATTAAATAAGAAGAAATTTCTTTAAAATATTCAAGATAATTAAATTCTGAGTACAACATCGGAAAGCAGACAAAATTTTCTCATTTAGCGGTTAGCTTAATAGCGGTTGCACAGAGAGGTGATCGGGCTAAGATCACGATCAAACACTAGCTATATCCCTTGATTAATTATTCAATTATGACTATCCACTTTATAGAGGCTGGTTGTGCCACAGGAGGGTGTTCCGACCTCAAGCTCTGTATACGACTGATGAAAAATAAGCTGTCAGTACTTACCCACTGAGTTATCTCACTCACAATAGTAAACAATAATTAAAAAAAATATATATGTACCTTAAGACTGTGCCTTTATTAAGGTAAATGAATCAGTAATGGACAGTGTACCTTTCATGGTCAGTTTTCAACTCATTGACATATAACAAACTTTATATGCCTACTAGATAGTGCAGATATAAGTAGATTTGCAGTAAAACCACTTTGAAAGGTGACGCCCAAACCTCAACCACAGGCGGATCTACGGGGGAGGGGGGATTTCGGGTTGAAGTAATCATCGTTATATATATAAAGCCCTAGGGCTGATGCCCTCCCCCAAAAAGTTAAACCCTAGATCCGTTAGTGTTTGCCACAACAGCCGATTGTCAGTTGATTTTTTTTTAAAAAGGACGGATCTTTTTTTTTTTTTAGAGGTAAGTATGAAATTTTAATTCATCTATCTGTAGTTTTCAAACTAGGATATGTATATTTTTTAATTATAAAAAAAACAGTTAATCCCAAAACCTGAGTGTCAGGATTTCATATGTTCTTCATGAATAATTAACTAATTGACTATATACAAAAAAAATCAATAAAAGACCAAATTTGATGTCAATTAAATCTATTTACAAAGATCCACTGTCAGAACTAAAGTTGTAGTTAACATTAATTTTGAATTTTTTTCTTAAAGTGCTGTTACCGGTACAGTTAGTTTACTCTATTCCATTATTTTGTTCCATATTATTATACTTTCGATGCCATATTATTTCACTCAACACACATTTCAATGGTTTTTGTTGAATATAAATCCGGGCTTTAATAATTAACCATTGACCATCAAACATCCAATGTACAACTAACATACCCACATTTAGGGCGACCGTTACGCCTAGATCCTCCGAGGCAAAGGTGACCCGCTCCGGTATTTTCCAGTGGGACTTGACAAGGAATAAATTTGAAGCGCATGAGATATAAAGACTGGAGAGTAAAGGCCCGTCTGCTCGACAGAGTGTTTAACTGGATCAGCCCGCTCGCCGGGTTAACCCGCCCTCGATTGTCGGCTATACTTCGCTCTCTTTGTCCTCTCTCAAAGATGGTTTAAACTGTGGTCAGTCTTTTGGGAAAACCCTCCTGTCAAAGGAGGGGCTTATAGAACCCTCGCAGGTGTCAAATATTATTTTCTTAAATAAAATATTTAATTTTACTAAATTATATCAATAAACAAAATTCATAAATACAAACTACAAAGAAATGTCTCAACACAAATCAGAAATTTTATTTGTCTCTAATTATTGTAAAAAAAATCTTTTCAATTTAATTTTGTGATATTTATAAGAATTTATTTTTTATATTACATAAAAAAATCATAATTTATAATAGCATAAGGAAACCAGAAAGGGATGAAATAAGGAAAAATTATTTAGAAATCAGAATTGATCATCATGATTGGAAATAATTCGAAGAGATAGTTTTTTTTTAACGAATGCAATCTGTTAGCCAAATCATCGAAGTAAAAATATTCGATTACAGGTCAGACTGGATAACGAACTTGTCCAATCTATCCTCAAATCCAGGTCAACTTTCTTCCACTACTTACCTCTTTCTGTGTCTCAAAAACGAGTTGCCAATCGATTTAATTTTAGCATTTTATTAAATCTAGCAGGCACAAATATTTTAAACTATGAGAGATATAAAATTAACAAAATAATACCTGATAAAAATAATTTAACCATATAAGATGTAGAGTACATCTATTTGTTTGAATACAAATAGGTAC